TGAAAAACTTTCGTTGGACGAATTTTCTTGTAAACTTCATATTTACTGAGATATCGCACTTTGGCGCACTAATGAGCAACCCTGTATATATAAAGATTACACGAAATCCTCAATTGCTTTAGCAACTAATATTACCCACACCAAACGGTGGGGAGAAATTGGAAATTACTAACACAAATGGGTGTTTTGGTCACTCAGAAGTACACGCGGCTAATCTAACGTTCTTGCAACTAATTCTTGTGGCCTGCAACTGCCAGAATTTGAGGAAGACCCATACTTAATGTCCTAAAATACCGTTTTTAAAATACAAAATTTAATTTTTTTACCTGATTCAAGTCAACCATAACGGTGTTCTGATGTGGGTGAGCATGAGCGACAGGTGGAGGACTGGGAATAAATTGCTGATGGTGGGAATGGGTGAAGTCGTTCCTGTCTCTGTACCGTGGCCGCCTTAATGGTGGGCTACCCTGTTGGGTAATTATTAATCAGTTTTGATAAATTTCGTTGCCAAAATGAATCTTACCTGCATCTGATGATGGGAAGTGGACGGCGGATGCTGTCTAGGTGACCGCCTTGGAGGGGAAGGCGGACCGACCACTTGCATGTCCAAGTGATGGCCTGACCGCGACAGACGTCTGCGCTTCCGTGAAGGACTTTCGCTTTTAATGTTTTCGTCACTGGCTTGCCGGTAGTATTGAGGAGAATGTTGCTGGAAGTGCACTGGAGATACAAAATCTGGAAAAAGGAAATATTGAAGAATATCATGAACTTGCAAACTATATTATTTCTATTACCTCTGGCAGACATTCGTTGAGGATATTCCATTAACCCCCTGGGATGAATGTTTTCTGTTGGTCCGCTATTATTTTCGCAAATATTGATGTGCAAGGGTGGTGAGATATGTCGACGATCTGCCAGACCTGGCATCAGCCTTCTATCATTAACACCGTGGTAATTCTGCTGCATACTATGTCTTCTATCTGGTGGGTTTTGGATCAAGTTGTGTCGTCTGTCTTGAAGAGGAAGACCTTATGGGCAAATAATACAGTAATACTGAATATTCAAATGTTGTACTGTTGATATTCTTACCTGGAATGCCCGCACCTTCCCCGGAATAATGAATATGATTATTTCTGGAGACCGGACTCAACTGGGTGTTTTTCGGGTAACCATGTCCGTAGTTTTGATCTTTAGGGCTTGTATTTGTAGCTACTGAACATTCACTGTAAGAAAATCACTCGATTCATATCGATCATCATTCGATCATAGAATTTCTAAAGTGCGAATAAGTACATAGGAAACTATAATAACTCGTTAAAATCAAAGTTTCAAAGCGACTCGGTAATGCTCTATAGTACATATTATAATGTATCTACTCGATAGTACATATAATACCTAATGTAAATAATTCAGATTTATAAAGAAAGAAAGTTGGAAGGAAGCATGGATCACACCCATCCATAAAAAAGGAGCACGTGACAACTGTGATAACTATAGATGAATTGAGATTCATCCGTCGCATGTACGGAAAAATAATAGAGGATATTATCGAAAAAGAATATGGTCCTCAAGAAGTCGAGCAGCGGGTAGGATTTTGGGCTGGTAGATCATGCATTGATCATATCTTCAGCTTGGTGCAATTGAATGAGAAGAAAGTAGCGACAAATAGGGAAGTTCATCTACTTTTCCTGGACTTGACCAAGGCCTATGATACGGTACTGGTTGAGAAACTCTGGAGAGGCTTGGAACATTCTCCTATAGATAATACCATAATAAGTGGCTCTGTGCCTCGGGTTAAGGTGGGACAAGTCTTTCAGAGAGGGTTAGAACAACCAAAAGCCAGACAGGGAGGTTCCCTGTCCCCAACATTTTTCAAGATAAACGAAGATATGAAGAAAAAGATGAACTGCTGAACCAAGTCGTAAGAAGTGGAGGAGAGCATGCTGTGGAATGTGCATACCACTGACCGAGGATACGACACTTTATACATTGCATTTTACAGACGACCAGGTAGTGATTGCTCAGGACACGGAAGATCTGGACTTCATGGCCAGAATACTGTTTAGAGAATACGAATATTAGGGTTTGTCGGTCAACAGAACGAAAACGCAGTATCTGTGTATAGTAGTAAAGAATAAACCTACCTTGGAACAAGAATAGGTAAAGGAGGTCGAACCGAAAAAGAAATTGAAGATCGTATTGTGAAAGAAAGGTAGGTGATCGGAAGTCTGAATTCTATTCTGGCGTAGACCTGCTGAAAAGTCGAGATTGGAACGAATAAAAATCGAGGAAATATGGGAGATTATGAGTCGAAAAACGGTAATCGATGAAATATAGAAACGGCAATGTAAACAGGATGTAAGAAGATCGTAGTCCCAAACTGGTCCTGAAGTGGGCGCCGACAGAAAAGAGGAAGACCTAAAAAATCATGCAAATGCAACCATTAAAAAGCAATGTCTGAACGGAAGAACTGAGTGTTGAACTCTCAGCGAAAAACGCTATAGAAACCGAGATATATTTTCAGGCGTAGCTAGGCCAGTTTCAGGCCAGCAACACTTAGAGTACCATAAGAGCTCTTTTACACGAGGATACAGTTGCTGATTCGTGGCAGACCGAAATCCCCGATCCCATTGCGGGATACTCATCGCAGACTTGTAGCAAGACAGCAAAGTAGAAGTCGGGTTCTAATAATTAGCAAGTCCATATACGAACAGGTCCATAAAGGCGTATAGAAAATCGGCCCCGGAAGTCGTAAAATTGCCAGAGCGACTGGAACTCACTGCTGATCGAAATTCAGTTGCCGAAACTGATTGTGAAAAGTATCCCTGTGTGTACGGTTCCATAAGGCTCTATGTTAAACCAGTATCTGAATCAATAGTTGCCGGGTAAAAGTATCCTCGTGTAAAGGGCAGCAAAGTAGTAGCCGGGTTCTCATAATTAGCAAGTCCATATACGAACAGGTCAACAGGTCCGTAAAGGCCCATAGAAAATCGGCCCCAGAAGTCGTAAAATTGCCAGAGCACTAGAACTCTCGACTGATCGAAATTTAGTTGCCGAAACTGATTCTGAGAAGTATCCCTGTGTGTACGGTTCCATAAGGCTCTATGTTAAACCAGTATCCGAAGCAATAGTTGCCGGGTAAAAGTATCCTCGTGTAAAAGGGCGAACCGATGGAAAAATAGATTAAAACGTAAATGCCTTAGAAAGCAAATTCACTTTTTTCGAGAGCACTTATTAATGTTGCAAATGTGAAATTAAACTTCCAGACTGTAAACAATTAATTGGACAAATAAAGTGAGTTATTTTCGTGATGGTAAACCTACAGTCAAATTATGAAGAAATTAGAAGAAAAAAATGAGAAACCGATATTATAAGATTTAAGCGGTGGTGAAATTTTTTTTACAAAATGAACTGTTATTCATCCCCGAACTAACACACAAACAAGTAGCAAATTTATCGGAAAATTGAAATGATAACTTGGAAAGATTCACAGAAACTACCCACACTCGCCAAGAAATCAAATCAATAATTTTAGTATTCTTCCATACTTCCATCCAATTGTAAATTGTAACAATTTGATAAAAGACATACGTTAATAACATCAATTTTTCATCTCGCTCGTTAGACCAGTAATAGAAAAAAAAACAACAATTATTGAAGCACTGCCAAATAGCTTGGGGCATACCATACAAGGTGATTTACGTAGACCGTGCATTAGTTCCGTTTACAGTTGTTTCAGAAACTTCAAACTTTGTTTCCGGCCATAACGAGTCGTGCCGAAACCACGTAAAATAAATGTAGCCCTCCAGCTATACGGGGTGGGCGAAATTGGACACTTTAAAATTGAAACTCACAGAGACAAAAAGTGATATTAGTGTCTGAGCCTCGATTTTTATGGCAAAATTAATGACGGAAACCGTATATCAATATCTCTAACAGTTTCAAGATACAGCGTCTTTTCCCGAAACCTGCACTTTTGGAAAAGCTCTAACTCTTTTCTTGCGTTTTTTTTTAACTTTCTGCGCAAACATTTCCAACGCACTTTTTCAAGTAATATCCAATAATGTAAGTTTCATTTGCGGTTAGAAAGTACTTTCCGAGTTATTAACAAAAAATACATCCGTTTAAATGGAACACGTTAATAAGCAGAATTGTCGCATTTGGAGCTCAGAAAATCCAAGAATGATTGTTGAAAAGCCCTTCCATCCTCAACGTGTCACTGTTTGGTGCAGTTGTTCCGCTGGGGGTGTGATTGGACCTTATTTTCTCGAGAGTGAGATATGATGAATGATTTTTATTGCTGAAATTGGAAGATATTGATGTGGACGACGTTTATTTTCAGCAAGACGGTGCTACGTGCCATACAAGCAACGAAACAACGCAATCTTGCAAGAAAAGTGACCGTGTTATTTCACTAAGAAGTGATCACAATTGGCCATCGAGATCTTGTGATTTAATACCTTTCGACCTTTTGGGCCACGTGAAAGATAAGGTCTATGCCAATGCTCCACAATTGATTCAATACCTTAAAGATGGAACTCGTAAAGTTATCGAAGACACACCTACCTGGAAAATTTCATGAAAAGGATATGGTGCTGCAAGCGAAGCCATGGCTGCCATTTGGCTGATATCGTTTTCAAATGTTAATGGCATACCTTTCTCTTTACAATGAGATAAACATTCATTGATATCTCTTTAAAAAATATTCGTTTTTTAATTATCAAAATGAAACCTCTTATTGGAAACCCTTTACAAACTGGAATTAGAATAAAGTGATCTGTACCATTGGCGTGTAGGTATACAATTGCATAAGACTGTTAGTCAACGATGAATTTCAGAATACTATTTCATTTCATTCAAGAATATTATTTTTCCGCTGGAGATGGTGAGCGAGAGACTCCCAGGGATGCTCCCGGGGATACACCCTTCTCTCAAAGTCAAGAATAGACACACTGGGCAGTTAGCTTGGGCTTTCAGCTAACCACCTACCAAATTTGGGTTTTGAATTTCGAACCGTTCCGTACATACTTATACATAGCTTGTTCCGTAAACATCTGTAATGGCACTTTTTTCTTAAACAATTGACATCAAAAACTCTAAGAGATAAGTTAACACAACTAGGGTTATCCACACTCGCAATTGGAAGCCCAATCCAACCATGCTAAAAAAAATTGGAGTTTGAAAAAGAAAGTTTGGTTATAGTATTCGTACACCCTGTATAGCTAGAGGGCTAAATGTATTTTACATGGATTCGGCACTACTCGTTATGGCCGGAAACACAATTTCAAGTTTCTAAAACAACTGCAAGTTAGAAAACTTCTAATGCACGGTCTACGTAAATAACCCTGTATAGATGCTTCATGAGTACACTTATTTTACTTTTCAAGATGATTAACATTATTTCATATTCTAGTTAAATTTGAATTGTGTTTTCTTTGACCTATACTTAACCGCTGTTTGTTTAAATTTATGAAGTTTTACATTTTGTTCACAATTTAAATATTTGCAAATATATAATAAATAACGTAATTGTGCAGCGGATACTTAATATACCTAATATAACAGATTGCACTTAGAAATAATACTTTTTTCTTCAGAGCCAAACAGTAAATCTAGAAGCACCCAAATTAATTCAATAATTTGGAAATGGTCAGTTTAAATTTTTACTAAAAACAGAAATTAATCAAAGAACAAATAAATAAAACAACAACCATTCAAATTAATTTTACCCGGTAAGTAAGGGGTCTGTTTTGTTGACCTTTAATGTTTTTTTGTTCAAAAGATGAAGGAACTGAACAATCTTGCGGCAGAAAGGGTCCAAACATTGGTCATTATGATGGACCCCTAACTGAGGCGGAAATGATAAAGGATTCACCCGGTCTCAAAATTGCTAATTGTCTCGAGATTTATAACCACTCGGTACCAAGGTGTGAAGTGTACAAATCCAATATTTCTCAGATTGTTCGGATTATATGTGGGTTCATTGTTTACCACCCTAAAGAACCCTAAATTGCCCTTACTTACGTACACATTGAACAGCAGGGGGTTTAGTTTGGTAACTAATTGAAATTACTTTTCTTAAAAATATTTTTAGGTAAACTGTAACACAATGGGGCTGGGTCAGCTAATGGCGTTATGGTTGTTTTACACATTTTACCTAAAAACAGACATGTCCAGTTCTCATAGCGGATTTGTTTTGTAAAATGGAGCCCCCGAACACTTCTTTACATATCGGTAAAACTCATTCGTCGAACCAATGAGTTAGATAAGTACTGCGTCATTGTATTGAGCTCTCGTTTCTCGATTGAGCATTATCAAAAGATTAATTTTACAACTGTAAATTTCGCATTAAGCAGTGAAGCGCATACAAGAAAAATGCTTGCCAAGTAATTGCTAATGGTTATTGTTTGCTTGACCCTTAAAGCCTGTTTATCACGTTTCATATGCGAAAAAAACACAAAACTTACCCTCTATTGAAATTATTATCATAATCCCTGTTGAAATCCTTGGAATACCTATTCGGCCACCTGGGATGATTAGGTCGGTTCGAATGGTTACTTCCATGTCTATTGAAGTTATTAGAGTTTTTCCGAGAAGGGTTGTGATTGTTGGAACTCATAACTCGGTTCTATGTGACGCAACGTCAAAATTGCGAATTAATAATTTTTAAAAACAATATAACAACCTTGCAGTGCAGGTACACAATCACTATTGAGCAAGAAAGTGATTAATTTTAGTATTTGCTCAGCACTATTGATCCACAAAAAGGTTACTAAACATTTGCCTGGTTTTAAGAACAAAATCACTACACAAGTAAACGCGGCGCAAGTACATAAACACAAATATTCATTTTATACGCCTAAAAAATGAGATACATAACTTTTTTCAGATTATAGTTTCTCAGACAGACCACACAACTACTGTCGTGAAATCAGTCACAAACACCCTACCCTAAACGACTTTTGACATTTCTAGTGATGGGCGGGAACTGACCTGTCTCCGTGAGCCGGGTCTTTATACAGATCCGACGGGTCCAAATCTTGAAATTTTCCAAATACGGGTCTTCGGTCTTAACGGATCTTTTGCATGTTTACAAATAATGGAAGGCACATACTGTGGCGAATTCGGTGGGACGGCGAAATATTCGTCGACTCGTCGACTCAAGCACAGAGTATAGATTGGACAGTTTTGCTTTCCCGCCAAAATGATTTTGCTAAATGCAACCACAGAGAGGCGTCGTCCAAAAATCCAGAGGATCAGCTG